GGGGGAAGGATCAAGAGCTCACATCACACAATGAAGCATCATGCATTCGAGACCAACATGCCAGCATGAACGGAAAGGGAACGGGTAGTGTAGTCGTTAGTGATTTCTGCATACTTGCCTTTTGGATGTCAGAATGCATCGGTTCATATATCTGCATCTGTATCTGTATCAACTATACAGATACTATATATATATATATATATATACACATAGAAAATACATAAGACACACTGTTTTGTGCGACTACAGACACGCCGCATACATGAATACATATGTGTATACTTACACAAACATGTTCATGTTACACGCAGACACATATATCTATACACATACACATGCACATACACATACATATGAAATATCTGTATATGCAAAACCAGGTCAAAGGACTTTGCGCTCCAGTGCAAAAGGCCTTGGAAAGACAGGCCGTCTCCTCATGTTTGCCCCTGGAGAGCTCCTTCAGGATTTGTCAGATTTGGGAGAAATCCGGAGCATAAGCGCATACAGAGGATTGCCGAGAATTTCTTGAGACAGCAGAGGAGAATTAAAAAAACGACACAGCATCTCAAACGATTTTTTGAATGATAATTGCCAGCATTTGCATGAATATTGTCATTACTGTTGCCATCGTTGCAGTCATTTTGATTGTCGTTCTCTCAGGACTGATTACTACTACTGTTTTTGTTTTCAATTTGTTGTCCTTAGTATTACCATTGCTATTATCATGTTCAGTCGCATTATCATCATGTGGATTGGCCATTTTATCGTGGATTTGCACATCAGCATTCATGCCCGGGAAGAAAGTTTGGCGAGTAGCCTGACTACCTCACCCAACTGTACTATGTATTTCTTCCGCAGAGGGCCCGTGGAGGAGTGTGAGGGGGAGAGGGCTCTTGGGCTAGTGTAGGTCACTTCATCTGCATTTTCACGCAGGCCGCTGCTTTTTCTTCAGCGCAGAAGGAGGTGGAGGAAAGGCGCTCGCAAACACTGCAGGCTCGTCGATTCTGCACTCAAGCCGATACGATTGCGATGCATAATTGCTTCGGCCACTTTTGTGTAGAGATTCATCCGGAATCCACTTATTATGAGTACTCTGACGCTTAGGCAAGCAGCACCATGCAGATGGAGCTTGAACATCTTGCAGCGCAACGGCAGAAGGCGCCGAGTCAGCAGAGTTTGTTTTGGCGAGGAGACGGGGCTCCATGTCAGGAGCGAGAAGCTTTGGAGGCTGAGCTTTTCTTCGAGCGCGAGAGGCGAGATCCTGTCAGCATTTTCGAAAAGGCTCTGAAACAAGCGCGCACTTTGCCTTTCGGTTCGTGGGTATGGAGGCTTGCATGCATGCTTGTACGATGCATGTCTGTATGTCTGTCTGTATGCATGTCTGTGTGTATGTATGTATGTATGTATGTATGCATGTATGTATGTATGTATGTATGAGCGCATGTATGTGAGGGGGTGCACTGGCCAGGTGCATTTGTCGGGATCCGCATATGTGCATGTGTATGTACATGTTTATGTGTATTTGCATGTGTACGTTCACGTGCGCGCGTGCGTGTGTATACATATATTACATATATATATATATATGTATGTATATACATATAAATATATATATATATATATGTATGTGGATTTGTGTTTCTGTGTATGTATATGTACACTATATGTATATATATATATATGTATATATGTATATATATATATACACACATATTTATGTATATATATATATATATATTCGCACATACATCTTTGATGTATGTATAGGCAAAGGTATATGTGTATGTTCACGGGTATAGGTATGGGTACAGGTATAGGTATAGGTGTATGTAACGTGTCTACGACGGTATCTATGTCTCGGCCTCATTTCTTTTCTGTCCGAGCAGGGTTGCTGCATTACCTTCTGCCAGAACTCATGCGGCAAATAGATTCCTGCTGTTTTTCATTGTACCACTGTGACCAGTTCATTTTTGTTCTTCTTGTAACCGCACACCCTGGTGTCCAGTATCTTCCGGAAGAGTCACTGACAGATGTCTCGAAAGAAGGAAGTCTGGTTGTACAAGCAAAAGTGGAGTACTGCACAGAGCATCGATGGCCAAGAGCCAGACAACAGTCGTGTGTACGTACTTCTTGCAACGTCCTTGCAACTTTGAGCCAGGATGCTTCGAGCGCAAGCGAGCAACCACCGGCGTGCCGCAACTGCACATGGTCACATGCATCAGTAGCATTCTCAGCCGGCAGAAGGGTCTAGAACCGTCTTGGTTGACCTGTTTCCTGGTCGTGGCAACGATGTTTCTTATCATGGCGAGGATTCTATGTTGCTGTCATATGGTAGCAACGCGCTTGCATCTAGACCCGTGTGAACGCCACGTCGGAAAGACGATGAAGCCTGACGCAGAATTCATCCGAGGCGCATCAGACTCAGCTGCAAACGCTGACCTTTCCCAGGTGGTCATGGGACAGGCGGGCAGGGCAGGTGTGTGGATCAGGACATACTTGTAGCTTGTGCCTGTGTTCGGCTAGATGCAGTTACCCTTCCATCGTTTTCAGGCTGTTGTGCATGTCAGGCTGTTTGTTTGTGGAAAGTATGGTGCCTTTATGTGGTCGGGTTTCAAGGCTGGCAACCCAGTAGATCTCCGAAAGTACCCAAGATCTGTGAGATAGCTTGGTGCCACTGAAACGAAACCCGTATAGTAACCTTTCAGAAGTAACCCTTATAGGATCCTTTAGGAACCGTACTGAAACATGCAGTTGATGCTCGGCGACGCAAGCACGGCTTCCTACCAGGCTCGGAAACATTTTGCAGCCGTGGCTGTGGAAGTTTCAGAAAGTCGGGGATCCTTGTATGGATTCAGGAAAAAAGAGCCCTTATTGTAGTTGCCCACCACACCACAGACCGAACATTTAGGATCCATGGTCTCCTGGAACACGTCCTGTAAGGCTCTGAAGCATGGGAGTGCCCTATCCCCCAAAAGGAAAGGACGAGGATGTTCAGTTTTCCAAGCAATCCTGGGCCCGATGCTTACTCTAAGCGACACGCGGCTCCAACAGGCAGATTGTATCCTCCGGTTTCTCGGAAGAATAGTGAGTATTCAGGCGCCATATTATTCACGAGCTTTTTGCCAGGAGGTATACCACACCGCAGGAAAACTCAAGCTCCCATCAGATTCTCTTCAAGCCCTACAGCACAAGCAGCTTGCGGAAGTCTTCACGCAACCCGTGAACGACCCAATCCACAACGTCGTCTTTGCCTCAGCCTATAAGGACCGTATCTTTCAAACAGGAAAAGGAGAGGACGTGGCATACCATGCTGGTTGCCAGTTACTACTAAGAGATACTTTGCAGCCGCAGAGTGGAATCAAGACCACACCGCGAGAAACCCAGATGCATAGTATGTTTCCATTTCCCGGATCATTTTCAGAGTCATGCAGAGAGACGCCAAAGCGCACACAGCGGTCGTGTGCAGGGCATCCGGAAAAAACATTTGCAAAGGCCCAAAACAAGAAGCCCCTGTCTGAAAGTCCCATTTGATTAGCCCTTACTGCGTGGCCGCGAAAGGATGCTGAGTTGCGCCTAAGCCAGCGCCAGAACGAGGAGGCACGTTGCATGTGGGTGTGTCTGGGGCGAATTTTTATAAAACTCTCATGAAGCATCAAATTAAACGGCTACCGCACGCAGCACCCTGGAGGAGCAGCAGCGGAATGTCCGGCTCTGTACGGTAGCATTTGGCCAGCGATTTAGGAAGTGCAAATTTCTTGCACGAGCACCCGCAACATCTGCAGCCGGTGTGGCTGCAGTGCGCTGGCTGTACTTGTATGTGTGCGGCGTGCGGTGAAACTGTCAGCATATTGTGCAACCTGAGCATGCTGATGAATGCTAGGCACTTATGCATGTTGAGGCAAGGACAGGAAGTGCGGACCGTAGATTTGCAGTAGGTCCCGCGCTGTCGACTTGTGATTGCCAGATCCTGGCTGCCACTCGGGAGCGCAAGAAGATCGAGATGGAGCGTGGGGAGCCTCAAAGAGGTGACGACATGACTTGGTTCGACGGCGGCGACTTGGACGGCCCGGCAGTGAGGTCACCAGCGCGCTCTGGACCTGGCTGAGAGCGAGAATCGGTGGCTGAAGCAGCAGTTGGCTGAGCTTGCTAACATGCCTTCGCAGCACGCTGATCTCTGTTCGTGTTTCCCAAGTTGATCGTTAAGCAGCCTTCCGCAACGAAATCCGTACCAGGCCCCTTCACTCCTCACGAAACTAGAGACCTTTCGGATGACGATGTATCTCCACCGAGTGTGTGCATAGCCAGCCTCGAGGCTTGCCAGCAGCGGTGCAAGAGCAGGAATCGCCGAGAGCCTCGAGAGAATGCCGCTTGGCAGCATCTTGACGGGGTCTGTTTCTTGTGCCGGAAAGGATCGAAGCTCGGCTGTTGGACTTAGGGCGAATCCTTGTCTTGTATGGTTGTTCACCCCAGGTTTTCTCGAAGATGTAGTGGGCCATTGCATAGCCCGCTAGAGGGAGTGGTGACGATCGATCCCCACTGCACCTCCAGCACCTCAGTATCGAACCTCCGTGATTGAATCGGTGCTTGAGTCGTCTTGCTTGAATCACCTTGCATGTGCAGAGAGGCTTTGCCGGTGCATGGAGCACTTACCCTCATAATCCGACGCTCAGTATGCTCCACGCCGTCAGCACATCCCTGCTGATTTCAGCGTTTTCTCATACTCCTTGGCCGCAAACGCTTCAGTTCGAAACTACACGTCAGCATTTTTGCAGGTTACAGCTTCAAGTCGAAGCTTGTGTGATCTGCTTTGACTGAGGCAACGTCGCACAGAGCAGCTACGGCACGACATCGGCGTGCGGCGAGGTAGTCCTGCAGCATGTGTACAGACCCAAGACAAGTTTTAGAAGACGAAAGTAGTTGAGTGAGAGAAAACCTCATGAGACAGCGAGAGACATCCCTTACTTCCGTCGCCACTTCAGCTCTGAGCCCGTGCCGCGCAGATGACCGCAGCAGGCAAACATGCTTCATGGCTTTAAAGAGACAGTCGGTGCGATGCCAGATCCGCCTGCATCACGCTTCCAAGGCTTGCGCGGAGAATGGCGTAACAAGCCGGAAAAAGCGGCAGAAGGCCGGCGGCAGAGTGGTAACATGACATGCTCCAGTGAGTGTGTGTGTGTGTGTGTGTGTGTTTGTGTGGCTTTGCAGGCCAACCCATGTGGCCAAAGTCAAGAGGTCGACTCCTGGCCTGTAGTTGCCTGTGCCCTGTGCTGTGGAGACCGAGCTGTTTGGGTGCTCACCACAGGCTTTCGATGTGACATGAAGACCTGGCTCGATTCGGACTCAGACCAGCTTCGCGTCGCAAGGAACCGCAAAGAGATGTGGGCTTCAAGCTGGCGGGTGAGCTCGGCCAGCTGGTTGGCAAGGCACGTAATGGGACCTTGAGTCTTGAGGCGGCCGGGCGGCTGAAAAACTGCGTGCACCGCACAGGGCTTCCTGGAGTTCTCGCCCCTGCCTTGGGCTCCTTGCCAGCAATCAGCCTGAGTAGACTCAAGTGCAGAATTCACGCCCTTTTATGCGCAAAGGTCTGGGAGTTGATATCCTTCGTTGAGGAAATGTATGACCTCCACCACGAGGAAGGTTGCACCCTTTTTCATTCAGTGCCGCATTAGCAAGAGTGGGCATCCCGGCTTGCCAAATCCCACCAGTTCATGTAGGAGGTTGAGCATCAGCTGGAGAAGCTGCGAGACACTTGGCACCTTGGACGCGCTTGAGATGCGCTTGAGCCGAGAGTTGATGAAGGTCTCTGGTCCCATTGAGGCACCGTGTTTGTGTCAGTGGCCGTTGCTGGGCCGATTCAGGCACCTTGGCGACCGCCCTGGTGGCGAAGCCGCAGAGGAAGTAACACGGCGCTTGTGGGCCAAAGGCTGGTACTGTAGTGGCTGCAGGGACCAGTGAAGATGACATCAAGCACCCGTTTATTGTCAATTCGCTCATTGCTGCTGGAGGTGTTGCCGTCTACTGTCCACCGCCGTCAGAAGAAGAAGAGGTGATGGGATTCCCCTGAGCTCAAATTGAGTCGGGACGTAAGTGATATTTTTTTTCGCGGCAGTTGGGAGGAACGTGTTGTTTATTCGGTAACTTCAGACAAGCAGAGCCAAGCTGTGAGGGGTCAGCATCTGCTTCCATGGAACAGCTGCTGCCGCTGTGTCGGATCGCGGTTACAAACCCTTTTGTGCAGGCGCCTTGGTCCAACAGCGGCCCTCGCTTCTATGTCTCCGTCACGAAGGCCGTTTTCCTGTTGCTCGTGCAGAGGTGCTCCTTATTGCTCTTTGATTGAAATCACTGGTAAGCAACAAGGCGGTAGCAACAGAGCGCTGAGACAGAGAGGCTCAGAGAGCATCCGAAAGTATAGTGTCCCAGGATTCCTTTTTGCCAGGCCGCCTGGGAGCGCTTTCCTGTCGGTGCTCCTGCGCCACCGAAGGCGTTGCAAAGGTTGCTCTGGCCACACGAGGTCGGGGCAATCGCGCTGGAGAGTTCACTGCGGGTTCTCTGGTAGGGTCTTGTGACAATTGATTGCTGTGGGAACTGCACCTTGGTGAGGCCGACCGTGCACTCTCCAAGGAGGGCTCCTGGCCGAATCTCATTCGAGGACAGGGAGACCGGTGTGTCCCGATTCTAGAAGTTAAGGAGCCTGCGGTTCGAGCTGCCCTGCAAGGGATATAGGCAGATACTCGTACGCAGAGCCTCATCTTCAGGGAAAGGCTAACTGGTGGCAGGGAGGGAGGTCAGGTAGTGATCGAAAGATATATGCAGTGCAGATGGATGGCATGGCAGCATGACCAGCCAGTGCCTTTGTGGGGTCTGAAGCCATGATTGTCCAGGCCTGGGGTGGGCCTTGGCGCCGCCACGCAGCAGTCCACAGGTGGAGCGTAAATGCGCTGCAGGCGTGTTCGGATGGGTCTGAGTCCCGCGCAGGCACTGCATGCAGACATTTGGGGCAATGATAGACCTCGCGTCCTGGCTGCATCTGGCTGTAGAGGTCTTGGTGCCTAGCATTGGGTTTCTCGCGATAGTGGGGTCCAGTCGCAGTATCACAAGCACCTGCATGAGGTCCCGGCCGCGTGCGCTTTCATCACATTCTGTGGAAGCGTCAAGGATCACACTGCAACACGTGCCCCGGTACGAACTATGTTAAGTTGTGTCTCTCCCTGAATTCTGTCGGAAACCTGCGGGTTTGCATCGTTTCCCGACCGTGTGTGCTAGTTTTGAAGTCTCATGGGGCAGGGGAGAAAGCGTGTCTTGAACAGCGGGCAGCGTTTCAGGCAAATCGTGCCCGGCGCATTCACGGACGGAGAGACTTGGGAGGAGCACTATACGATCCATGGCAGCAAAGTACATCAAATCCTCTTCGGAAAATCTGTGCCGAGATTCAGAGCCCGGAGTGTGAGAAGGCAAATGACGACTGCCAGTGCTCCTTGCCTGCTGGTTGACAACGAGGCATCCGAATACCGTCCCTCGCTGATGTACGAGTTGCTCCGGCCATTTTCTGGTCAACCTGCTCCGATCGCAGGTCTTGCATCGAGGAGCTGCCAATCCCAGCAGGAATTGGGTAAGCACCTGTTCGATCGAGCTGTGCACCCGCACAGGCATCTTGGCAGCAAAACCAGGTTGAAATCCAACATGGTGTTGCGACTGCTTCTCGTCCAATCCTTGTCATCACCATGCCTCCACCTCCATCTGCCCCCGACCAGCAATGATCAACAGCAGCATACGTCGAATCAGCCCGATAACAAAAGTCATTATACCTCAGATGCGTTGCTCCTTTCCTGTACTGGGCCTTGCCGTCTGTTGTTGTGAATGTCGATGTTGTGGTGGTCGTTGTGGTCGTCGTTGTGGTCGTCGTCGGTGTCGATGCCACTGTTTCATCTGGCCTACAGTTTATGATCTAAATCCTGCAGTACCCATAATAAGGAGGAGTATACCATAATTCCCATAGTCTGGGGTGATTGAGGCAATGCAGGATGTATATCGTCAAGTCAATCGCATATTATATTGGTTATCGGTTCTATTCGACTGGGCTGCATTATTGATTGTTCAGCAAGCCGTGTGTCTCCTGGACACGGTACAGCATTTCTTTCTGATTTCTGTGCAGCACAATGCCAGAGAAGCATTGTATTCTCTATTCCGGCATTCATCTTTCAAGCTTACCTATGTGTGTACTGGGTGCTGGTGTTTTGGTAATGTGTGATTCGGGATGGTTGTGGCTGTTCGGCAGCAGGGTTCGTGGTGTTCTGACACCAGACTTTCTTGTTCTTCCTTCAGATTTTGATTGGTGGTTCCGACTTCGAGATCGAACAGCATCGCGTCTGCGCTGCTGTGGGCGTGCTCGTGCCTTTGACCATGTGTTGGATCTGATTCACTTTGAGCCCCCGCCAGGTCGTCTTTGGTAGTGTGTGTAGAGTTCTGCAGGATTCTGCAGGAATTCGACATGGTTGCTCCCATAGGCTCCTGGTGCACCGGGGATGTTCCAAGGATACGAGGAGGTGTGGAAGGAGAGTTCGGAAAATGATGGCGTGTACCGCATGCTGCCGATCTGCTGGAGTGGATAGCCCTGGCGCAGCTCCTCCAAACTGCTAGGCGCAACCTGCTTTCGGTTGAGATTTTTTGGGGGCTTTCGGGATTCAGGTTTACAGTAGACTCTGGGGGTTGGAGGGTAATTGCTCCGGACTCCGGACTTGTCGGAGTCCAATATGTGGGAACCAGACGTAACCAGACCATGGCTTCAGGTGGAACCCGCTCGGAATCGCCCAATGCCTCTGCCACAAGGCAGGGATCTTACCGGTACTGTATAGAACAAAGCACGCGCAAACATGGCTTTTTGCTTGCATGAAGTTGGTGCGGAGGCCCTGCAGTGCTCAGAGCTGAGAAGCTGCGAAGCTATGCCAAGCTTTGTCAATAAGTTTTCATACGGAAAGAACAACTCTGTGGCAAACTCCACGTCGCAGTTGGGAGCTGCCCCACAGTGCGACTCGGTACTCTTCCATGGCAAGGAATTGTCGTGTGGCCGCTCAAAGCGCTGCACTGGCCATTTTTGTTGGGTGCACTCAAGAGCTGCGTCTCCATGATGGGGATGATATTAGCCTCATGCACTGCTTGTTGGCGTACTTGGAGACTGCAGTTGGTTTCCCAAGCACCCGTGCATATTAGGTGGACGCTGCCGGCGTCAAGCACACTGCTACTCTGTGATCCTGGGTTTCGTGGCAGCCCGAGCTGTTGCTGCAAACTCTCTGAGTCAGTCGACGCAGTCCAGACGAACGCGGACCAGACGAAAGCGAAAGTGTGTCTGGGCACCTCTCCGGCTGACTCAGGGAAGCTGCATTTGGGACGATGTGTAAGACTGCAGGACACAAAACCTTTCGTGCTGCAAGGATCAACCTGAGGGTTCAGGTTTTCGGGCTTGGGGTTTAGGCTTTAGGGCATGCAGCGAAGGCTGGTTGGCTTGAGCTTGGAGGCATCCTGTTGACTGCCTCATTCTTTAGGCAATGCCTTCAGGAGGGAAATCACAACTAATAGCTTGCGCTCGCAGCCATCGCGCAAAATGTGCGAAACCAATGTACTGTCGTAAACCGTGTCCTTCGAAATCTGCAAATGCATCCATGCATGAGCAACTTACGACATCGTCGGCTTCATAATGGAGAAAGGACTGTGGTAATGTCGACCAACTCTCGATCTGTATGGAACATCACGCTGAGTTCTACTCTTGCAGCAGAGTTGTGGGATGTGCAGCTCTCGGATATCGTCAGCTGCTAGCTGGCAAAGTTGAATGGGAATCGCAAAGCTTGTTTGCCCTGCCGCTGCGTGATTTCAGGCACCACTGGGGAGTGAGCCTATGTGAGCAGTTGCCTCTGCTGTAGGCTGTCTCACAGCGGCAGGTTCTCAGAAGCCAAGCTGCCAAGCTCAGAAACAGTCTTCACCTCCGGTCGCAATGTGCCCCGGTCCTCTCCGCAGTGCATGGGTCTGCATCGGATGACATCCTCGATCGCCTGCAGTTTCGGGCTCCCAGTTAGGGGGCGCTAGGGGCCGCGGGCCGCTTTGAGCGCCCGGGTGGAGGGCCCAGAGCCCGAGCGCCACAGTGCAAGGCCGCTTTGGGGCGAAGGGTCGAAAGATCGAATAGGTGACTGGGACTGGGCATTTCGAGAGGAGCACCACTCCTCTTTTGCGGTTGTGTTATAACTTATAACGACGGCCAAGTTCAGCACTGCTCCATCCGGTGCACTCTGGATGCATGGTCCTCCGGTTAGCATGCAAGAAGTCCGTGCATGGCTCATCTCAACTCGTGCTGAGGGCCTGGGCGTGGAACTTCACATGAATGGCGGCAGCGAAGCCTCTGCCTGAGAGTTTTGGAGCAGGTGAGAGCAGGAAGCGTTTGGACTGGCTCATGCTTGGCAACGTGGCATAAGACCGTTGCCGGGGCAGCAGTCCGCTCTTGACAATCTGCCAGGCCAACCATCAATGCCCACATACCGAAGACGGACATTGTCACCCGCCATAAGGCAGGTCCCCAGCAGCCCATCACATGTCTGATTGGTTGAAGATCTGCATCTTCGTGGCTTGTGCTTCTCTGCCTGTGCCTGTCTCCCTCAAGTTGGCTCGCCTTCGTCCTTGCATGACTCGTTCCGGTCCTTTCGCTGCCAGTTTTGTTTAGATGCCGACCATGACGCACCGGTCTTTCTTGTTAGGTGATCCGCTTCGGTACGACGAGAAAGGCCGAAGATTTGATGTGTCCTGCACATCGCTCCAAGCGCAAACGCTGATAATGCAGTCAATAGGGCGAAGTACTTCCTGGAAGGCTCCCACAGAGCAAGAAGCCAAGCTCTACGCCTACCTCCACCAGCGAGCCGACCTCAAGGTGGGCCTTGGACTCTGGTTTTACTCCTGGTCCTACGGACGCTTCTCTTCGAGACACGGGCAGGTACTGCACATCGACAGCGTGTGATGTCGTGCGATGTTATGTTTTCAGAGTCTCGTCACATGTGGTCGCACAGGTTTCCAGGGGGAGCATCCCTGTCGGCTTCTACTCATGCATGTTCCTCGACGAGGGTTGCGGCCTTATCCAGAACTCCAGAACCTCTTTTATGCCCTCGCTGAGAGAATGCACAATCAACTGAGGTCAACCCCTGTACTTGGAGACCCGCTTCGGAGGCATTGATGATGATGGCGAGCCTGTGGGACCTCAGTACCAGGCGCCGGATGGTCATGCTGCACCTTTGTCTTGACGGCGACCACTGTAAGAGCTCAGTGAGGTTAGCTGGAAAGCTGAGAAAGAGGTGATGCTTGGCTGATCTTGGCTGCTCATCCATTTGCGAAAGATACCTCCCAATACTAAACTAGATGTCCTGTCTCTGACAAAGCCGAGGATTCCTCCCCTGGACAGCCTGAGCGACGGGTGCGCTCGGATGTACTTTTCTGTGCATCTCTCGCCTTCTGTGAGTGAGCTGCTCATGTCCTCTGCACTGTGTACCACTGCTGCAGCTGATTTGAAGACAGCCTCTCTCGTTCACAGCTTACATCGACAGCTAAGATCCTGTAACTTCAACAGGCAGCGTCAACGCTCTTTCCCCCCCATCCTCCAAACAGTGCCTCTCATTGAACCTTAGACCCTGAACCCTCCTTCACCCAAGATCGACAAAAACAGAAATGTGGACTCGATCCGCCGAGCCCTGATCGGCGTTTAGCTGCCATACATGGTGGTGCTGTGCTTAGCACGCATGAGGGGTTTGCGTGATCTGTCCTTGCCTTTTGTGACGCACTAACCAGGCAAACTAGCCAGCTACCTAACTATCACGCAAATAGGTATAAGTAAGTACTGCATGTATGCATGCATGCATGTCTGCAGATGTATGTCAGGAAGTAGGTATGTAGGTAGGTAGGATTGTACATATGTATTATGTGTATGTGTGCATATCAAGCACATCGGCTTACATAATATAAACAGCAGTATACACATGGGAATTTGTCGTTTGTGATATTCACCAATGAGGTGCCAAAGAGCAAGCATGTCAAAAGGCAGGCGCCCTAGCGGTTGGACGTGCCGACAGCATGAGATGTGCATGACAGGGTTGCAAGCAACAGCACGAGCCCACTTGAAGGCCTTGTGGCTAAACGACTCTGAGGCCAAGCGCCGTCTTCGCACGGTCTGCCTCGGCTCTCGTCTTTTGCTTCGGGAGCGCCTTCACAGGCCTTGGTGCGTCGCTTACATGCTTCGGGACCGGACCCCGGATGTGAGCAGGTGGACTCTACCGCAACATACGAGCTGGCATTGCCTCCGCAGCGCACCTGAAAGACGAGGCCCTTCAGGGATGTATCCTTGAGTTCAAGACGAGTGTAGATTGTAGACGGATGGACCGCAAGGAGCCAGCTGTGGAGACGGTGCCCGACATGGCAGGCGGGAGGTTCACGGGAAGTTTGCCGAGCATCGGCTCGCTTTGCGAAAGTACATCGACTGCTTGCGCCCTGGCCTTCCTTGCATCGCTACTGGTGCGTTCGTGGAGGTCTAGCATCTGCAGAAGCAGAGGCCTGCGTGATCCAATCTTTGCATCCTTGACCCCTAAAAGATAGGAGTACATCACCTTCATTCCGTAAGCTGAGTGATTGGAGAGGCCGTACATGTCAGGACTAATTTCCACCCTTTAACCTGTCGGCCTGACGCGCATGACAGTCTTGGGCGTTGGAGTCTCCCTGTAGTTTTGTGGCCAGATCTTTCAAGATTTCAACATGGTGCAGGTGGTCGGGGAGAACAGCTCCAGGGCCATCAGACTGCTTTACTCTGAAGGCCAGTACAGTGATGTCGTGTGGTTGCCACATCGCAGTGGCCATTAGTCAGTCGAATGTCGCGAAGCCACACGTGATCAAATGTGATGATATGTGATGGGAACGGATATGTTTTCCTTCGAGGAACATGTGAGACATTGCAGCCTTCATCAAAGTTATTGAGCCACCAAGCTTAGCAGAAGTTTCAGTACAACTGCATTTGCGCAGGAGGGGTTGGGGTGCAGAGAAGCTAGCCCTGTCAAGGACAGCGAGTCCTGACCTACATTGTTTTCAGGAAACTGAGCAGCCGCACCGTGTGAAGAATCTTAACTCGTCGCGGCTGCATGTCTGTAAATACCGTAAGGTGATGCCAGTGCAAGATCAATCCTGCTGCTGCTGCCGCCACACAGTAGACTCGTAGACGTTTGAAATTGGACTTTGATGAGGCGTTTGGTCATGATAGCAGTGTGTCAGAATGTGCAATGGTGCCTTGTGACCAGGCTTGCAGACCTTCCAGGCAACACTGGAGAAGCTGCAGGCTCGTCGGCTCGTCCTGCAGCTTGGAGCCTTGCTGCAGTCGAGACTCGAAACGCGGAAGCCCACCACTGCTTAAGATTCGCCTCGAGCCGAGACCTCGATGAGCTTTCAGGAAGTAGTCGCATTAAAACAAACACCCCGATGTTGACAGTCATGGGAAAGGCTTCCATCAATCTGTGTCCCGTGTGTCGGAGATCAGCTTTGCCAGTCATACAAAGCACGGCGTCTACAACCAACCCCGCTGTGGTTTTAGTACTGACCGTAAGGGGTTCCCCAGAATCATTGCGGACAGCCGTGGTTGGAAATTCCAGGCTTTTGCCAACCAATCTTCCAACACAAAGCAGCAAATCCTGAGGGTGAAAATGCTTAATTAAATCAAGTCAAAAGCACACAAGGCACTATATAGATGATGCAGGGCTGCCACACCCCCCCTCCCCCCCCCACCCCATGGTATCCTCCCCCCTTCCCCCCCGCCCCCCCTGTGGTGTGGGGCCTGTGGTGGTACTCTTTTTGCCACGACGTTCTTATGTGTTACTCCTTGTCTTCCCTCTTGTTGTGGCACCGGTGATACTGCTCATGATGTTGTGCTGCTCTAGACCGGGACATGAGTCGACGATCATACCATGCTCAACATCATCCTTGTCGTCGTCATGTTCATCATTGATACCTTCAAAAGAAGATCTGCCACCATCACCATCGCAATACAACCCTCATAATTCAGCATTGCAATTCACGTCAGATGCCGCTTTCCGCACACGGCAGGGCATAGTGCGACACTCCCGATCCGCGCACAAGGTCAAGGGGCAGGCAAGGTGCGGGCCGGGGGCGGCGGGGCGGGCAGGGCGGGTGGGCGTGCAGCAGCAGGGCGGCAGGGGGTTGGGGGGGGGGGGATACCATGGGGGGGGGGGGGGGGGGGGGGGCGGCCCGGGACCCGAGAGCATAGATCAAGGTCACCGCGACGACGTGATGACGATGTTACTCATGATGATGGTGGTGATGGTGATGGTGATGGTGGTGAGAAGAAGAAGAAGACTCATATGATGAGCCTCGTAGTGGTTGTTCGTGGTCGTGGCATGCTGAAGATCACGGAGTTTGTAGAGGACTGCAGCTATCCCCAGCTTTTCGGATGGGCTGGCTCCTGTGTCAGTGCCCCCTGGCGATGCAGCACTCTTGCGAAGCAAGCCTTACGGAAGTTTCTCGCAGCATTGTTTACAAATTTGGGGGTTCCTGATTATAAGTATAGTATACTATACCCCCCAAAAACCCATTCTAGTTGTTGAGACCCTGTTTCGGAAATCTATGCCCAGCCCATCGTCAACAAGTGACAAGAATCGACTCTGTGAAGGCAGCAAAGGCGGGAGATGAAAGTGTACTCCAGGCCGGTGCACGCAGTCTGCTTCAAGCCAGCTGATTGAGCTCTTGATCAACCGGGGCCTGCTCTATCCGAACCATGCCCATGATGCATGTTACAGTACCACAGAGAGGAGAGGAACAAACAGGTTTGCGAAAAACGGGTGAAGGGCGCATCACTCGTTCGTCATAGTCTGACACATCAAGTTTACGCTTTGGTCTGCTTCTGCTCCATTTGCTCGGGTCCAGAGGCAGTGTTGAAGAATATTCCGGCTGTGATCAACAACATCACCGAGCAGGCCAGGCCACGTGAATCACATGAATGCTTGCACTCCCGTTTACACGGCGGCTTTTGCTCACGCATTGTATCAAACAAACTGAAGCACTCGCTAGCCTTGGTCAGGAGATTCCGACAGATCTTGAGAGCGACTTTGAACAGGCGAGTCCCTGCTTGTGGCAGCCGATAGGGGCATGTCCTCAGCTCGACGTAGCCGCGGGCATTCAGCAAAACGTAAGTGACAATGTCAGGTTGGTCCTAGAAGTTGATTCTTCGCTCGCCTCAAGCATGCAACATTGAGGCTCTCGAGGCCACCACGACGATGCTATCGCCAGCAGATATTGGCGAAGGCGAGGCCATTACGATCCAGACCAGCGCTCCTAAATTTGAAGGAACAAAGGCGTGCCAACTCCGACGAGTGCACCCCATCTCCCGCAGTTTGATAGACATGGAGGAACATGGGCGGATGCCCCTTGACAAGCAGGTCCTCCAATAACTCTGGTGGCTCAGCTGGTGTTAAAGATGCCTTCCAATGTGCAGGCAATCTGACACTGGGACCCACGCTCTTTCGACAGCTTCTGCAGCTGTCTCTTGCACGGGGCCCAGCTCCAGAGCTTCTTTAGCAAGAATGGGACCCTTCTCGAACACTTAGATTCAGAGGCTTATAGTAGAGCCCCAGTAGAACCCTTGGAAGGAACTTTCAGAATCTTAATAACTTCTCCTTACCCTTGAAGAGGCAACAGAGGCACGGCCCGCGCCCCGGAGAATGTAGCAACACCAAGGCGAACCTTAAACCTCAACCCATCGAAACTCTAAGCACTAGCCCCAAACCCTAACCCCCCCCCAAAAAAAAAATGAAGGGCGATTAAACAATCACACCCAAACCCGGAAACATTCGAAGGTGCAGCGCCTTCCCGAGATGATTCGAAGGCTCGGGCAACTCGCCTCTTTGATGCATGTCAGGCAGCCTCACATCATTCCGGGAGTAGATGTGTCTCTATGCATGAGCGCATGTATCAAGCAGTCAATCAACTGAGGAGCTTCTCTACCCAAAGTCTCTGGAGGAGAAGACGGACGTCTCGCAGGAGCTGCGACGGCCATGTCGCACGCCCACACACACAACATCTTCGCCTTTGCCTTGTTGTGAGGTGTCAGCAGAAACTGCTGCCTAAGCTGAGAGTGAGAACCAAATCCAGTGCTTCGAGACCGAACTTGATGGGGCTTCATATGTTTCGTGTGACAGTGCTTTGCTTGAAATCGAAGCATTGGGCCGGTTTCCGATGCAAGGGCTTCGGGCAAAGACCACTGAGAGTACCTACGGCTCAGATTCCGGAGCCTTGCTGCAGGACGAGCTGAAGGAGGCCCTGGAAGCCCTAGCGGAGGACCTGAAACGAGGCCGCATGATCGTGGAAGCTGCAAGCTGCCTCTTGGCGACTCTGACACCCTGGCAACGCTTGGTGCAGGTGAGCTTGCGCAGTGGTCGGATGAGGACTGCACTTGGAAGCGCATCGCGAGACACAGGCTTTCCTCTTGTGGAAAGCGGAGGCGGCTAGTACTCTTTGTTTCAAGACTTGGCACATCAGGACTTCGCTGAAGCGCAGGACTTGATTGAGCGCGACTCGCCTGCGATTCTAATTGCAGTGAATGCAGTCCAGTTGTTTAGTACAAGATCAGGATGGCAAACGGACTAGAATGGACATAATGGACCTGTGCACAACTATGACTGAGGCAATCCTGTCCTGGGGCCGGTGGGAGAAGCGCTTGCCTGGGACTTGGGTCCCAGAGCATGGCACCGGATGCGCGACACCGCAAAACTTCTGAGAGGCAGAAACAGCCGACGAGGCCCTTGAAGAGGCCAGCTGTGTGGCCCCTGAACTTCGTTTTAGCTTCTTGTGCTTTCAAGGAGAGAGGCGCTGCTCGTAGTTTGAAGGGCAGATGGGTAGGGTGATGGGACAGTCGTAAGCTCAGTGGATATGAGTCCCTGCCCGCACAGTTCTACGGAACCACAGCTGGCGCTGCAGCTTTCCTTATAATAGCCAGGACCTTAATGTGCCCGAGAGACTTCCCGTTCACACCTGAGGCTTCTAGGGAAGCACATGCCAGACTTTGCTCAGATCACGTAAGAGATGCTGAGGAGCCTCGCCGAAGTTTCTCTCCAGCGCTGACTCTGTCCCAAGGCTCAGCTGGTGCTGATTGGGGCTGCCCTGGCCACCTGCGCCTCCTGTTTTGGGGGCGACGGAGGCCTCGGCCGAATGGCCTCAAAGCTGGATGCTGCTGAGAAAAAAGGGGGGGCCGGGGGTGAAGGCAGCAATGCCCCGGTGCCAGCGGACACAGCGACGCTGCCGCTTTATACGTCATTCGCTGAGATTCGCTTTTTTGCAAGTTCGTGGAAAAGGATAGGACTCTGTGATATTCTGTGTGTTCGGTGTGTCGGCTTCACTACTGACGGGGGTGGCTTTCCCGCATGCAGCCTTAGACACGAGCCGCTCACGTCTGTTCTGTGCACCGAGCGCGAAATCCGAGGTTGGGCGGAACCTTTGGTGGGAAATGATCATGGACCATCCATCGAGTCTTTGCCCACCAGAAAAGACGAGCTGTCTTGAGCATGCTATCTCCCGCTGCCTAAGTCGTTGCAGTGTTTGCAGTGATGCGATTAGAATGCGAAGCTTCTGGCAGGTGGTACCGGGACCTGGATGACCTCTGGAGCAACGTCCTTTCATACTTCGAGAAGCGTGGCATCCTTAGCGAGGACGTCTCTGTAGCTGTGCCACTGTGCTCTGCTTGGCAGCGACTCGTGGGATGGCACCGCAGGAGACGTTGGAGTACCTCGATGCGGACCCCTTCGTCCTGTTTGGAGTCGATGACCCGCTCACACAGCAGGACTGCAGCCAACACTGTACACTTCTGACTGTGTCGACAGTCGGCTCGACAGCTCGCTCGTACTCGAACTGCCATCGGTATCCTTCGGCGTCAGTGAAGGCTCTCCTGAAACTCGACAAGTTCCCGGCATTGATGTGCGACGGCCTGGACCTTACACTAATGTCTGAGAGTCTCCTGAAGGATCTGTGCAATGCTCCAAGGAGCTGTGCCGACACAGGAGGAATGGGCCTACTACCTGCGTCTGAGGCTTAGTTTCTGATTGCCACCTTCTTGCATCATGGGCAGTGCTGAGCTTCTTGCTTCGAGGAATCGAGCCACGTGACACCCAGCTGGTGTGGCTCGTGCGAGTGCCTCGCTCAGCCTCTTTCGTCTTTTCAGAGACATTCTTCAGTGCAGATCAGAATTTCAAAGAGATGTGAATCAGCTTCCACTCAGCTCTCGGCCTACTCTTCCTGGCAGCTCCTGCCCGGGCCCCCACCGGCCGCCTGTCATTTCAGGCAATGCAGGAGACGGAGCTGCCCAAGCCTTGGACCTGCTACAAAGGCTCGCATCGCTGGTGCCTGCACACTGCATCCAGACGGTATGCTTCGGCTCTATGCACAGGCATTGGGAGCATCGTCTGTTACCTGCGGTCTGACAGCGGTCAGGCCAGTCAGAGTTGCAGCCAGATCTTAACAGGAGGGCCAGTGCATTGAGCAACAAGTTCTGCGGATCCAAGTGTCACAAGCCACTCTTCCGATTCACCGGCATGCCGCTGGTAAGGACTGCATTCATGTGCCCGTGGAAGTTCGGTGCACACACACGATCAAGTCGCAGTAAGCTCAAGTGACATCATGGGGCAGTCGCCTTTTATGCTGCGATCATGTGGTTGATTCAACAGACGCCCGGGGCGCGTTTGGAGTATTGGGAGGGGCGGTGAGTGGATCGCCGGCAAGTGTTCTTGATTCATGATCATGGTCGTCCCGCCGCCCACACAACCTGCAACACCAGCATCCGCTCCAGCACCTGTGCACTCGCTTCCGATCCTGGCCCGCAGACGCCCTCCCATGCCCACAGGCCGCATGCCCAAAGATCCAGTTTGTAACGACAAATCGTGGAAACCACAGCTTGTACTACTATGATATGTACTACTGCTACGACTACTACTACTACTACTACTACTACTACTACTACTACTACTCCTACTCCTACTGCGACTACGACTACGACTACGACTACGACGACTACGACTACTACTACTACTACTACTACTACTACTACTACTACTGCAACTCCTGCTACTCCTACTACTACTACTACTACTACTACTACTACTACTACTACTACTACAACTACTACTACTACTACTACTACTACTACTACTACTCCTAGTCCTAGTCCTAGTCCTACTCCTACTCCTACTACTACTACTACTACTACTGCTGCTGCTACTACTACTACAACAACAACAACAACTACTACTACTACCACTACTACCACTACAACTAGGACCTGGCAGAACCACAGTAGGGACACACAGGCGTCAGCGTAATTCAAAGCGCATCTAGGTGTGGATTTGATGGAAAGGTCACGTGGAAGCATCCCTTCTACGACTATTTCCGCCAGCTCCGGGACTTTTGCCGACAGGCATCTCGTGACGAGGCGCGACAATCGGACAAGTGGTGCACATGCTGGCAAAAGCCATGCCCGCATGACAAGTCAACTCGGCTGTGCTAGAGTACCGGCTCGGCCAATGTCAAAGTCTGCATGAGACCTCTTCCGGAAGTAGCCAGGTGATGCAGGTGCGCTGCAATCGCCTCCTTTGGAGCTATGAAGCGACTCGTGTCGAGACCGAGCATGACCAGGACGAGTTTTGTGGTAGTCTGAAACGGGCACGCAGTGCGATGCCCGGATGCACAAGGGTGTAAAACGGGCCTCACTGCACATGCCGAGATTGCACTCAGCATTTCTAGAGCACACACCAGCATGACCTGGTGGCATTGCACGAACAATCAGAGGCCTGAATTAAGCACGATAGGTAGTTGGAAAATGGCCTGGGCACCACGCTTGGCAGGAGCCCCTCATATCGCCGCCTTATGTCGCGCGCATGGCCGACATTTTCGGTTTCGATGTGAAGGCGTGCAGCGAGCAGAGAAGATGCCCACAATCTTCTGGGACTGGGATATGTCTCTGCCTCTCAGAAGTTGCTTCAAAACTGCCAAGCCCGCTCTGCAGGTGCAAGGCTGCGTGGTGCGAAACTGCAAAGCGCAGCTGAAGGCCAACAGTGATCGTGGAGCAGCAAAGAACATGGTACGAGAATGTGTCGGTCAGATGTTAGGCTTTCGCGAAAGCGTACCGGACGAAGCAAGACATTGTGCGAGTCCCAGAATCTTAGAAGTCCCAGTCGGATGTTGTGCCCGAGCTGTAGGGTATTAGTATACCCACAGAGGCCTTTCGCAAGGTGAAATAGATTTAAGCCGAAGCTAGGCGTCAGCATCTTCTGCACTTTTTGCAACGCCTCAAGACACAAGGACATTGGTTTGATCCGGGAATGCAACGAGATGCTGCAGCGCGACGTGGCGAAGTGCCCGGGCGAGCTGGGTTAGGGACAGCTCATGCCCCATTAATCCCGGGATGGGGGTTCTCCTCCCCGCACTTCAATCAGACAAACAGGGGGTAGGTAGACAGCTCAACAGGCGGGCAGTTGCAAGGACATGTGCATGCAGTCGTCGCAGTCATCCAGCACTCCACGGTTCATGCTAAACCGATTTGCGAGGTACAGCGAGATGGTGGCCCACTGGTCTGGTGAGGTCAAGGAGGACACCTGGCGGCTTTTTGCGCTGCCATCCACCTCCCACGGTGCTGCAACCCTCGCTTCCGCTCTATCAGCTGGGCAACGGCAGTAGCTGAAATCCAGTAGCCGCAGAGTGACTCAAACACGGGGAGGTCAAGCATTTAGAGTGACCGGTCCTGTAGCACATGGCAGCACATAAAGCCATCCTTCCAGTGAGATATCTGACAGTCTCTTTTAGAGAGGCCAGAGTGAGTTTCTAGGTTAAGTCCCTGGCCGGGCTTGCTCTTGCATGTGGGTCAGGTTGGGAATGCGAGTCTTTGGTTTGAACCACCATCGACGTGTCCGTTTATTGTGGTGCGTGGGGAGCATGGTTGATCCGTCAACTTACAAATCCACGCAGCAATGCAATGACGCACGTGCGCGCATGTGCAGCGGTACAGACTCCCACATTGATATAATGCAGTGCAGCCAGCTGTGCGGAGCGGTATCAAACTGCCTGTTCCCATTTCCATCCCTCCGTTTCTACTTCTGCGTTGGCCGTGTTCCCTGTAGTTGCTGATGTATGGTGCTTTAGCACAGGCAGGCCTTGCAAGGCCGCGTCTGGAAAGCCCTGATGTTCAGAGCATTTGGAGGACGTAAAGTTCGACCTCAACAAGCTAGCTGCTGGTGAGCTACATTGTGGCTTCCTCAGCAAGTCACGAGGCTCAGGAGCAAACGTGAATGCCCTCTGAGGCGTGAATTGCAAGACCACGGCCCTCAGCTTCTGCCGCTGACCTACAGATCTTGAACCATGCTGTCGGCGAGCAGTCAAGATTTATAATTTAGGAAGTATGCTCGCGTTCCCAAATTTGGGCTTGCTCAGTTTTTTCTCGTCGCCAATTAAAAATTCGCTGGCCATCCTTGCTGCACTCCGAGGCTTGGAGTGCAAGGACATCCGTGCATCAGTCAGCGAAATCAACAAGTCATCACAAGTAGGTCGCAGTAGGAACGGGGTAGATGAGCATGTGCTCAACCAGACCTGTGCAAGGACTACCTATGCCTGAAGTGCTACGCTGACTTGCATGGGAAAGGTGTGGATCTTGGGGAAGTGCCAAATTTTCACACGTTCTGCTGTTCTGCTAGCTACGCAGTCCGATGTCAAGGCTCCCGCAAGGAGCACGCGTCCAGCACTCAGAAAGCAGCAGAAGAAGCTTGCCCCTGACACGAAGTGCTAGGAGAGCAACTGTCGCACAAACAAGATCCGTTTGGGGGGTGTGGGGGCGGGTGGCAGGCCCTTCTGCTTGGTGCCGTGCGCCTTGTGCGTCGTGCTTCCAGCCAAGATCCACTGCCGTGGGCTTGGATGTGCTCGGTGCTTTGGGTGAGATCAAGCTTGTGCTTCCGGTATCGACAGTAAGCAGCTGTGCCACGTCATGTCCACTTCGACAGCTTTGATCCCACTAGCAGTCTTTGTCGCCAAGGTACATTCACGGACAAGTCCTTGTGTGCCGTGCCCAGTGTCTTTTCTCAGGAGATGCGCACGCAGACAGCTCGTGTCTGTCCCTCGTTTCTCAACTGCCTCAATCCATCCTCGATGTTAAGGTCACAAATGCTATGCCATGAAGCATATCAAGATGCTCCCTCTTGACGGCAAAGAGAACCAGCAACTTGTCTGGCGACTTCTTCAGAAAGCTCTGTCGTAGGTCGGGCTGTCACCATCAGGTATTTCAGTATATGCCTCCCCCAGTCCGGAAAACTCATTCCGGATTTCAAAACGCCAAGCCCCACCCAGCCTAATCCCCAAAACTGAAAGCCCGACCGAAATCCGGCGCATCCCAGACCTCGTGATTCACTGATGTTTCCTGTACGGGCAACAGTGATGGTCCTGCATCCCAGGCCGCGGAGAATAAACTACGTGGAGCAGCCTGGACCTCAGCAATGATTGAATGCCAGGGTCGTCATGAGTCGTCATGAGTCACACAGATTGTTTCCATGGGCTTGCAGCTCCACGTTCGCACGTTCTTGTGATTGTCTTTCTTATTCGTACAAGCACCCATCTTTCAGGGCATCTAATGAATCTAATGTCAAGTGTCTAGGACACATATCGTCTGTCCCAAAACCCTAAACCATGTGTCTCAGCCGGTGCGCCGTTCAGGTACAACAGGTACGCTGAGTTTGCAAAGGCGGATGTATGCAAATGTCTGTATTACTGGTTGCCCACAGGGAGCTACAGTAGATGAATATGGAAGTGCAGAGAATGCAGGTGTGCAAGTCGCAATTCTTCCGTTGCCAGGAACGGGTGAAGAAGATGGCCGTCAAGCCGGAGGACCTTCCAGCACTGGATGACTCAGCCTACGAGTTCCTATCTCAGCATCAGGCGTATATGATCAGCCCACGGCATTGCAAGCTCATTCTGAGTTGCCACACATTTCATGCTTTAGTGTGAGAATAAGGGGAGAGCAATGTATACCGAACCAAACTTCCCTCACAGGCCTCCCTGTCTTTCTCTCTCCCCCATCGCAAGGGTTCGATACTGTGCAAGCGATGGCTGCACGAAGGTCGGTTCTGAGCACTGACTGGCACCCTTTCTACGATGCTCGTGGTGTGAGGCAGTCCGAACCATGCTACACCTGCCTAATACCGACCAAGATGTCCATCTGCAGCAGCCTATATGCAGTACACCCGGAATCTACTGGGCACTGCTGTAACCCGTGCGCGACATATGCCTGGAGTTAGGGCCATCTGAAGCGCAGAAAGTGCAAGCCGACTGCAGGATCGACTTGAAATTGGCCTTCAGACAGGTACTACCACAACTTTGCCACTGGCGAGCGCATGAGGCAAAGTCCACGGCGCGTGCCTAACTCTGCAGCTTGGCCTGGCTTAGCAAACATCTGAAGGTGACGCAAAATGCAATGCTTGTGTGACATATTATAGCCAACACATGTATCAGTTCTGGTTTCTCGCCGTGCGATGTGCTTGGATGTGCAAGTCTCGCCGACTCTTTCTGTTGGTATCATGTCACCAAGGACGATGCGGGTGCTGAGGCTACAACGCCTACCGCCCAGGCGACCAACAGAAGCTCTAGGTGACAATGTAAGATACCTGGGTGCTGGCACAAATACGTGGCACAATCCATACATCCCAGAGCCTCCAATGAGAGTGCATCGCATTGGCAGGAAGTCACCCAGGCTCTTGCGGTTTCGCAGGAGGACGCAGGCGTGCGCCCAAGCCTTCGTGGTGTGAAGCTATGACCTTCGTCCGGACAGCACAAAAGCACGTGGCGGTGTTGTCATGCAGGTGGCATGGCCAGGCCAGAAGGTGCAGGACTTAAACCGTTTCAAAGTGTGAATCAAGTGGGAAAGCCCTGCGGAGCTCTCAAACTGGCCACTCAGATCCAGCGTCCAGCAAAGGCTTCCATGGCACGGCCAGGAACTTAGCTGGTGCTGTCGGCCGGCTTGGGAGAGCCGCGAGAAAGAAGTGTTCTGAATTGCTTCTGAGGCGACCTCGCTCAAGAGCACGGGACCTCTGCCGCTCTCAGGCTTCGACTCGCTCAAGCCGGCCTCCGAGAAGTGCTAGGAAGCACGCCGCCATTAGGTTACTAGTGCCTTTTGGACAGCTTCAAGTTCCTCAAAGGTCGGATGTGCCAGCAGCAGTGCGTGCTGCGGAAGATCCGGCCTCTGCCCTACAAGGGGCCTGCTGAGAAGACGTGTGCAGAAGTTGCCCAGTAGCTGATGCGAGAGACCTTCAGCGTGAGAGTTCAGAACACGGAGCACCACACGCCTTCGGACCTTCATTGAATGAGTTCGTTGCCTCCGAGGAGCATCGGCTTCTCAGACCGCCGCATCGGCGTCACATGCCGGACGAGGCGAGTGTCGGCAAACAGCTGAAGCACTGAAGCTGCCTCCCCCCTTTGCGTACCCCTTTGCTTCCGCACTGATTGAATGCATGTTAGACTGTTGCAACATGACCTGTGCTGCCTGCAGATCACGGAGCCCCTCTGAACGAGTGCCATTTGCATGGAGTCGAGGCCGTGTAACACGGCTTTTGACAGTCTCACCACCGGAAAATCGCACGATGTCGTCGAGGACAAGGAAGGCACAGACTGGAAGGGCGAGCAAGTATGTAAGATTACGTAAGCATCCTTGACCAAGGTCCCTTCTCAGCTTGCAGTCTGATTCATGCTGTGTTGCTTTAGGTCCGGGTTCAGGGAGCTTACATGCTGCGGATGGGCTTCGTATGTGACATTCCGCAGCATCTAAGCGGTTCGAACAGCAGCAGTAGGAATTCCTCAGATGTAGCTGTGCGCAGGTGGTGCCTTGACATGACTTGAGAAGAAGCGTGGAGTCGAAGTCCGTGGCCCCTTTCCGACCTCTGGGGGCTCTCCCAAGGGGAACGCCCTTGAGAGGCTGCCCACAGCATCTGCCCGGTGCCAGGTGCCCTGGCTCGACGCGATGGCCGGCCGAGCACGCAGTGAGTCGCCGCTCGACTTTGAGGACTTCGCGTCGAGGCCCCGCCTTTTCAAGGGGTTGGTGCTGATGGCCAAATTTTTCTGGTTTCAGACCCTGCAAGCGGCCAAGACGAGAGTCAGTGAAGCGAAGTGCTCTACATCACGTCTTGGGAAAGGCCTACGGGCTCGGCACGGTCAGGGGCCCTCTTCAATGCTTTTTGACTGCATTCGTGGGTTCTTGGTTCTGCTGAGTTTCTGTCTGCGTAGACCCTAAACTCCTAAACCCTCCGAGCCTCCGAGGTTCAGATGTCGAGGAAGAAAGCGGAGCAGGCCCGGATTCTCCAGGGTTTAGGGTTAGGGCTTTAGGGTTTAGGCTTCCGCACTTCCTTGCTGTCATGCACGATGTCGTGCTTGAGGACTCCATCCTCCTCGCCAATCGAATTCGGCTCCTCAGGAATGAAGAGGCCCATACCCTCTGCTTGCGCCGCAGTGTCTCTCACGGCCATCGTGCATCGGGCGTGACCCCTGCACCATCTGCTCAGGCGAAGACTCGCAAGAAGATCGTAGAAACCGAAAAAAAGACCCAGGACAGGAAGAGCTCCGACACTGTCCGTACAGATCCGCAGCGGTTCCGCCGCAGTACGGGTATTGCATAGTACTGTGGCGCTTGGCGCCGAGCTGGATGATGTTCAGTGCTGTGGCTTGGACCTCTCAGTGCTTTCCGACAGGAAATCCTGGAGACCCGGCGGCGCAACGAAAAGCGGCGCCAGGAGAAGGAGGCCTTCGAGGCAGGCACTAGCCGAGTTCTTCCGGCTGCGCGAGAGCCCTTGCAAGGGTCCCGAGAGTCTTATAAAGACCCTCTTACCTTACTTCAGTCCTTTCTATCTTGATCCGTTCTTCATGCGCCTTCTTGTAATGCAGCCTTCGCCACCTTCCCGAAGGCGCACAAGGATGCCCTCGAGTCTGCACTGGCCTCAGCTGGAAGAGCCGTCATTTCATGGCCCAAAGCTGTTTCACTGCCTTGGCTCAGGAATTTCGTGCCAAGCAGATGGTGGCGGCTTCTGGCATGGCTTCCTCCCCATAAGACTTAACGTCCCGCCTGACGAAGAGCATCAGTCTATGTGAATGACACCAGCAGTCGGCATTGGTGGTCGTCCTTGCTGACAGACAAGTCAGCATGCGATCTGAAAGTGTCGTTTGATGATTCTTCAAACTTCGGCCTCCTGAGTTTTTACAAGTTGAGTCTTCTTATTGAAGCTGCCGGTTCTGGGCGTGGCAGGATCGGGCTGACCAGCAGCACAAGCTCCAAGACAAGATGAGGACCGCGATGTCAGACGTCGTCTAATCCTTTGCCTTGAAATGATCAGGCAAATCCTCATGCCCACTTGTGTGGTTTCGCATGGACATGGCCACAGCAGTTCTCAAGCTAGAGCTCGCTCGTCTGCCTTGTTCTTTCTCCCCTGCCATGTTCCGCAGACTTTTCGGAAAGAGAGATCCGAGTGAACCAGTGGTTCACCGGGTCAAGTTGCCTGATCACCCCAACACCATGTACCAAGACCACACGTGAATACAGCTTTATGTTCTACGAGTAGAACACTATGCTTGTTAAATTTCGGAGGAACAAAGACAGATCAAGGTTTGTAAAGGGCCTCCAAGTCCAGCCCAGGTACTGCGACCCTCAAAAAGGGTTTAGGGAGGGAGCGGGGCAAAAAACACCTGCAGGAGGTGCATCGAAACCTCCAAGCTGCAGCTTGCCCGCACACTCACACGTTGCCCAGCCGGAAGATGCAAATGTGCCATTAACAGCTGAAAGGGAGGCTTTGGCCCCCAATCTCGACGAGATCGCTGAGCCACTGCCCTCCACGGCTGCAGACGAATCGCACGCAGTTGAGGAGACCGTCGTGCCGTCTTCAGCTGGCGAGGCCCCGAATGTCGAGGAGATCGCTGAGCCACTGCCCTCCACCGTCTTCGGCACGATGGCGAGGCCTCCAATCTCGAGAATCTCGAGAAGATGGTTGAGCCACTGCCCTCCAGGACTGCAGAGGAGTCGCACACCGATGCGAAGGCATTGTCCTCGATGACCGCGGATGAGGCACAGTAGCTGCCTTTTGCTGATTGCAACAGGCCGAAGAACGGGCTTCGATCGTTGAGGCCCATCTGGCCGAGGTTGAAGCAATATGGCAAGAGGCCAGCAGCCGAGCTGATCGCGCAGAGGCGCACCTTGCTGAGCTGCAGGCAAAATTGCAAACTGTCGGGCAAGTTGGGAGCGATGAGCTTCAGTTGGGAGAGCAGTCAACGCCGCAGCAGCCGAATTCGTCCAGAGCAGTGATTCAGCAGAACGAGAAGTCGGGCATTCCCCATCGCGAGCTGCGAAAGGCAGCACATCGCTTCACTGCTTGACCTCATGGAGAATCATAGCCATTCACTTGAGAGTCTCGGTCCATATTCAACATACATCTCTGAAGTTTCACGCCGACGAACTTGCACCAAGAACTTCATCTGGCCGTCCGATCGTAAGAACATAAAGTTTGTGTGAGCCAAAACCTACACAGGCTTGCGGACTCTTGCCAGGTGCTGTGCGAGTGCGGGTGTTCGAAACACCAAGCGCCGCGACTAATCCCGTCCTCTAATATCAAAAAATCCCCCCTCCCCCTAAAGAATATAAGAACTAATTTCCTGGATTTTGATTCGGGGCATCCGGGTATGAGTCGGGTTGACAGTAATCAGGATTGAACCAGACAGTCAGACAAGTAAACAACGACCCTTTCCTACGCAGCCGTTCCGGCTGTAAAGCGGAAACCCTAAGCTCTAAACCTTGAGCCCTAAAGCCTTAAACCCTGAAGCCCTAAGCCCTAAACCTGCAGCCCAAAACCTTAATGCCCGAAGCTCGAAACCTTGAGCCGTAAAGCTCCAAGCCCTAAACCTTTACCCGGAACCCTAAACCCTTACTCCCTACAGCTCTGGTGGGGGGGCCTGACTATTAGGGGGAAACGAATTACACATGTATTGTACACAGATGCAGAGGCAGAGAATGCCAGTGGGGTGTGCAAGTGCATGGACACGAAAATGCATCAGAGATTCGTAAAGTGGGCACACTCCAGATGGTTGGGCACTTTGTATCCTAATGCGATTTCTACCGGCCGGAGCTTAATCGACACACACCGACACAGGGTGGGGCCATCCGCTGTTCATGATTGATACGACCCCTGGATGGCGCAAGGATCATACGAGAGCGAAATCAAGGTGCAGGACATGTCATCCGGCAGGAGCGCCAGGCGGCCAGGGCCGGGCCGGGGCTACAACCAGCAAGTTTTTGGACCCAAGGAGACAGGTTTTTGCTCCATGTAGTAGATGTCGATGCGTCAGGTAAATCATTCTCAAGCATGCAAGAAACGAAAGCGAATCCACGCCGAACCCAACTGTGCCTTTGACGACATTTGACGTCGAAAGAGCTTACCGGACGAAGTTTCGTGTTCAATGCTGTGCTGTTCCCAAAGCCAGATTCACAGGACAATCCTTCATTCCGCCATGACTGCTTGGGACAGGACAAACAGTACGTAGTAGTAAATTTCAATGTTCCGGGAGACCACGATAGTCTTACCACAACAACTGTTGAGCGCCACGTCAGGCTTTTCAGCAAGTCGTGGACTTCGAGCGCCAAGCTGCAGCTGATGAGGTGCCACATAATTTTGCATTGACACAAGACTAGCAGCCATACTCTCGGAAGGGATGTTGGGGCAGCTGACCTTGTGCCAACTTGAAATCTGAACGAGTGCAGCTCTGATCTCTTCGTGGCGGGCCAGG